ATCAAAACATAAAAATAGAACAAAAATAGACACACAGACCAAAAGAACAAGCTAGAAAACCCTGAAATAAAGCAACATTTTTCTTTTAACTTTAATTTTAGGTTCAAGGGTACATGTGCAAGTTTGTTATATAGGTAAATTGTGTGTCATGCGAGTTTGGTGTAGATTATTTTGCCACCCAGGTAATAAGAATAGTACTCAATAGGTGGTTTTTCAATCCTCACCCTCTTCTCTCCCTCCACTCTTAAGTAGTCCCCACTGTCTGTTGTTCCCCTCTTTTTGTCCATATACACTCAATGTTTAGCTTCCATTTATAAGTAAGAACATGCAGCATTTTCTTTTCTCTTCCTGTATTGTGTATCAAACCACATATTTGTAGTCAACTGATTTTGACAAAGTGGAGAAAGGAGAGTTTCCTCGGTAAATGGTGTTAGAAAAACTGGACATCCATATTCAGACAAAGAAAATTGGACCCTTATATCTCACCATGTAAAATAACCAGCTTGAAATGGATTAAAGACTTAAATCATAGGCTTTAAACTATAAAACTTCTACCCGTAAAAGTAAAGATGGAGGAAAGTTCCACAACATTGGTATGGGCAATAATTTTCTGGCTATATCCCCAAAAGCCCAGGCAACAAAAACAAATCAGACAAATAGGACCGCATCAAACTAAAAAGCTTCTGCAGAGCAAAGATGACAATTAGCAATTTAAAGTCAAAAATCCACAAAATGGTAGAAAACATTTGTAAACCATGCCTCTGATAAAGGTTGACATTCAGAGTATATAAAGGGCACAAGCAACTTCATAGCAAGTAAATAATAACCTGATTTAAAGGTGGACAAAGATCCGAGGAGACATTTCTCAAAAGAAGATATATACAAATATTCAATAGGTACACAAAAAAACTCTCAGTATTACTAATTATCATGAAAATCTAAATTACAACCACAAGGAGATATAATCTCCTATCTGTTACAATGGTTTTTACCAAAAAATAGATGAAAGACAACAAGTGCCGCAGAATGCGGAAATAAGGGAGCAGCACCAAAACCAAGGCATGCATCGGATTCAAGGTTGTTTTTGGTCCAGTTGTCAGATTCCAAACTAAACCCCAATGGATTGCAAAGATGACCAAATGAAAGCCCTGTTTAAAACTTCCTCAATTTTTAAAAGCAAAAGCAATTACCAGAAAGTAAAACAATTAAGAGGGATCATGTGTGCTTACAAGTGTCTTCATGTGATCTTTCTCCAAGTCCAACCACCAAGGACTCTGAGAGCTGGCAGGTCTGAGTAACCCTGGTGACTATTCTTTTCACCTTATCAAAATCTTAGCTGAAAACAATGGATGAGCCAATGACAGCAAAGGGTGGCAGGGCTGAGGACGCAATTTCATTTCCCAGGCTGATGGAGAGTGAAAAAGTACAGTTGCAAAAGTAAACAAGGGAGGTTTTCCAACCTTACCTGAAGGCTTCTGGCCAAAGCAAGGAAGTATCATGGAAGTTGCTGGGTGGCGATGGTGCAAAAAGGATTTTGAGGAGGAGGATAGAAAAAGCAGCACCCCTCAATAAAGGTGGGGAGGAGAGAAGATATGGGGAAAGCTCTGAATTCCTCACAAAAGGCCAATCTCAGAGAGGAGTGGAGGGGTTGCAACCTATGCTTCGGCAAAGAGCAGGAGTAGAGGACCCTGGGGACAGGATGATGGTTTCGAAGGGGCATCATTTAAGACTTAAAGAAACCAGGGGTGCAGGCAAAGCACCTCACACACCCAGCAGTAGTCCCACACGCTGGGACCTGAAACCTTCGCATCTACTCTAACAAGCCCCCCAGGTTAGAGGGCTGTTGTTGCAGGGAGAGTGGGAGGTGGGGAAGGGGGAGGGAAGAAGACAGAGACTCCAGACCGTGTAATCAGCAGCAAGGTGATTGTGTGATGTGTCTTCTCACAGCTGAGTTAGATGTGCCCCAACACTTATAATAGGAATCAATTTAAGTAGACTTTCTTGATCCCAGAAGTTCAACTATGTGGACAGTGGTTACACTTGACAAGATGATGTATTATAGCACAACTTATATAATTCAAATGGACAAAAAAATCAGTATCATTTACAATATCTTAAGATAAATTTCCAGCCAGGTGTAGTGGCTCATACCTGTAATCCTAGCGCTTTGTGAGGCCAGTGTGGATGGATCACAAGTTCAGGAGTTGAAGACTAGCCTGGCCAATATGGTGAAAATCTTTCTCTACTAAAAATACAAAAATTAGCTGGGTGTGGTGGCACATGCCTGTAGGCTGTGAGGCTGAGGCAGGAGAATCGCTTTAACTGGGGAGGCAGAGGTTACAGTGAGCTGAGATTGCACCACTGCACTCCCGCCTGGGTGACAGAGCAAGCCTCCATCTGAAAATATAAATTTCCTTTGAATGGGAGGTTCCTTTCAAGTACTTTGAGCTTTACAAGACGTATCTAGAAAATTTACTACTGCAGAAAATGAAGGCTACTTAAATTGAATGGGGGAAAGGGGAAGGGCTTGTGGTTTTTCTTTTTGATTAATTGCTGTAACACTGTCTTTCAGGTGGCTGAAGGAATTTCACATCTTCTTTAGACATCATTAGGTGCCAAAGTACTTGCATGACAACTTTGATGCTATATGAATTCTGCCATTTTGCTAGTATTGACATGGCCTTTGGGTCCACCACTCCATTAGAACTATTAAGTCCATTCGTATTAATTTTTGTTACAAATCTTACAAAGGGGGTGCGTCTGGGTATTTAGGCCCACATGCTATTTAAGGCTGTATATTTGGTTTTCATAAATTGTTCTTAGAGGCTCAATTATCATCCCTGTCCATCTTGTAAATACCATGTCTTCATCATCTTCTAGACCCCAGCGAATTGTGCCACCTCCTACTCCTTTCTGGCCTTCTTCAAGCTCTTCCAACAGTTGGAAATTGCCAGGGACTTTGACTCCCAAATCCATGGTGGCTGACATCTTGAGTCGCTGTCCAATAACTTATTTTCACAAATGTATTAACACACCAGATGCATCAGAAATTTAACTTCAACTATGCCAACTTTATTCAGAAAAGTTGACATATTAATCTGTTTCTTTAAAGGTCACACAAGTTGGATGTTAAAGGGGACACTGATTTTTTTTTTTTAATGTGGCTACTGTAAATCCTTACAAAGTTAGTTAAAAAAAAAAAAAGATCTAATCTATAAGTTTAGTATCACAAGTTTCCATGAGTGAAATTGCTCAGCTATTGTTATTTCTTCATAATATTTTTCTTCTAGCATGATATACAAAAGAAATTCATGCTTTAAAGTGATTCTCAATTTTTATCTGCAGATTCTCACCCACATTTTAAATAAAATGCAAAAGTGGAAATTTCTCAGAAATCAAAATGAAAAGCAAGAAGGCCAAAAGGTGACCTCTCCATGTAATGTTTAAAATGAAATCTGTTTATTTGATAGATATATGCCTTCACTTCTTTCCAAGGCTGTAAGTTATTAGAATTTTTCATGCAGCCAAGACCTTTCCTACTCAGCGGCTTTCCAATTCTTCACATTAACCTTTTCTCTGAAGCAGGACCATGCATGTTATCACAGCCAGGGTACTGAAGGAGGCTTCATATAGATTAATAATGGAAGGGAGTTGACACTGCTTGTCAAACCAGCCAAGTCGTTCCTCTTTGCTGCTCATCAAGGAATAGTGAGGGCTCTTCCAGACAGGCCAGAGCAAGGGGCAATAAGCCTACAGTTAGCATCTCTAGGGAAATTGGACAAATACAAATGAATCCTTGCCCTTGGCTGCACTTGGTATTGAATGGTTACTGAGTAGTAACAGCATGACAGCTATCCGAAACTAAGAGAAAAATATTATTAGCCTGTTTCATTCTACAGAGAAAAAAGTTTTCAGTAATCACTTTTCTTGTTTTAATGTAATAGCAACTGAATATATAAATGGAAGGCAAACAATGGCAAAATCAAATACATAGAACCTCATTTTAGCAGAAGAGAATGAACTCTGTAAACATGAATTGATATTTTATCTGAATAAAAAAGAAGAAGATATATGTTTGAGTTAAGTGACCTATAATAATAGAATTCATGCCTCTGGATAATTAATTGCACCAATAGCTACTATGAACCAGCAATGAGCCCCTGGTAATTTTATGAAAATGTGGTTTTTGAAGGGCGATTATGTGTAAGAATGACACTAGTCTCCATTACTGAAAGAGAGTGTGCCCTCAAGATTTCATACTGCAGTAGAAATGACAGGAATGTGTGTGTCGTTTCCCCCGTTTTCCCTTCGTAAACTTCTTCGTTTATCAGTGTTCTCCCAGTATGCCATGGGGCATTTTCCCACCTGTGACAGTTGCTTTATCTCATCTCAAGACCTCTTATAATAAAATAAAGGTTCCAAATCACACAAGATTTGGGTCCCAGATGACTCGCCCAGGACATAAATCTAGGTCTCGCATTCTCCAAAGCTTGTGCCCTCCTACTACTCTGAAATCAAAGGACAAAGGCCAGAGTTGTATTCCATGTGCAGTTGGCAACAACCCCCTGGCAGCAGTGATCTGTCAATGAACATAAAATCTACCCATCCAATTAGTATTCATTTCAAATATTTCCACATTAAATTCACACTTAACCTGTTCATTTCCACCACAGCATTTTACAGCGGCATTAACAAGTTCTTTTGAATTTTGTTTCATTCACATAACATAAAAAGTTACATTTTTGTTTAGTGCTTCATAATCAGTGAAAACTGACTGAAAATATATTCCATCAGGTTAAAATCTTCATGATTTGTTAATTTTTATATACGGACTTGTCTCTTTTGTAAACAATATATCTTAGTTTCTTATCTACACTAAAGGCATATAAAATAAAATCCATACAGAGCCAGGTATCTAGCCAAATCTCCCAGACTTCTCAGAAGCCCTGCTTTCAAGATGTACAGGGAACTAAAACTGGAGAAAGGAGAATGTCACTTACAGTGCTGTTCATCACTGTTGTCCCCACACTGATCTGTGAAGTCACAAACACAGTCAGGAGGCAAGAAGACTCCATTGTCACACTGAAAGCTTTCTGTTCCTTGCCGACCCAGTGCAGAAGTGAAAACACAGGCAATCCAAAGGAAACAAAAAGCTTCATTCATTGGGATTGCCAACATTCTGTCCAGGAAGAAAAGTATTCCTTGGTATTGTCTATTAGAGATCAAGCAGTGGTAATAAGGAAGTCCATCATTGGAAACATTCTTTTTTTCGATATTCTTCCGTTCCCAGATTTGCTTCTTCTAACTGGATACTATTGGTAACTATCTGCAACTCTAACAAATTACTCCTCAGGCAGTTAATTTATTCTTTCAGGGGCGTGACTTTAGAAAATATTTAACTTGAATAACTGCATTGCTTCCGTAGCTAGCTAACCATAGATGATTATCGCTCCCTGTATGCTATATTTACAAAATTTAAGCCTTTATGGTCATGCTATCTCCTGAAAGACATTTGTAAAATATAAAGGCCAGGAAAATAAATAGGAGGGGAGAGGGAACCATGATAAAGTTATAAGTTGCATAAAAATGGTCTGTGGTAATTCCTATACTCACCTAATCACATTCATGTAATTTAGAACATAATGGTGAACACTAAAACATACTCAAAATTTCAGGCCCAATTATTAGAACTGCTCTATGAAAATAAAATGCTTACCCATTATTATCACCTTGCTTGTTTTTGTTTGTTTTGTTTGTTTATAGCACACGGCTGCTAGTAAGTGCTTCTTGAGATAAATTAAGAAATACAGATTTTTAAAAGTTGAGAGGACATTGGATGTTACTGTTTATAAATCACAAAACTTCAACCCAAGGAAGTTATGGGATATATGTGAGAAAATAAAGAAAGGTGGTGTAAGAAACTAGCGCTCAAATATCCTGCTGTTAAGCACAGTGTTCACCCTCCTGTAGCACAAGAATTCACCTGCCAATTCATCATAATTGACTTTTACAGGTGAAACACATGATTTCAGGATGCATATTCAGAATGAACAATATATTGAAGTTGAGTTCACACAGACACATTAATTACAAATCTTATGAAGGTGAATATTATGGAAATTGTGTGATGTTGTACATTCCTTTATATTTGATTTCTTAAGGGCATGTTAAAATTCTTTTTCAACTATTTTAATTTCTGCAGTGTAACCACAAGATACAAAAATAATTGGAGAATGTAGAGTGAAAGGACCGGAGACCAGGAACAGAAAAGGCATCAGAATTTTTTTAAATGTTCTAAAAATCACCCATATTCTAGGGAAATACATATATGGTGTGGACATTCTGGATTCTGGGGGGCAGGGGGACAGGAACCCACAATTCCGCCTTACATCTAAGCACTCCACATAATCTAACGTTGTGTTGCACTGTGCTTCAGTCCTGTTTCAGAAATTTCTCCTTCTTATCTCCCTGTTTTACAAATAAATACTAATAAAAACCTCATCCACCTCTTTTTGCTTGTCTCTTCAATGTTGACTATCCTTATAGTTCCATTTTATGTTCCCTTTTCTCCTAAGATTAATACTTTTTTCTAGGCTCTGTCTTCACTCTTATGATTTCAAATATGATCCCTTTGTTTTTGTTTCCTCAATTTATATCTGCAATCCTGATATGCACTTATTCCTGAGCGCGCGCGCACACACACACACACACACACACACTCCTAATTGACACATCTACTTCAACAGAAAACTAAACTCATCTTCCTTTTCCCCACCAGCCAACCAGCTCTTATTCCCATGTTCCATATTTCAATGAATGGAACCTTTCTTCTGTTCAATTACCCAAGTAAGGACTGTCTATATTGTTCCTGCACTACTGCCACCTGTCCTACCTATTAACCACCCTGGCTATTATTTTTTGTATTTCAGTTGATGACTCTATTCATTCTTACCTCAGCATGTTTCTAGTTCTCACACCTTATTTCCTAGTCTTTGGATAGAGTGACCATTCTAAAGTACAAATCCACTTCTATACATTTCCCTCTGAAATCTGTATAACTGTCACACTCTGAATGCAGCTTACGAATACAGCTTACCTTGCAAGGCTCAGTGCTTCCTTATGCTCTCAGCCACAGCCTTACAGAGTGACTATGCTGGCAGTTTTCTAAACATGCCATCTCTCAACTCCAGATCTGAGATCCCTTCCCCACACCGATCATCAGCTTAATCATTATTCTTTATTTTTCATCTTAGGAGACTTTCTTTAAGGTATCTTGGCTGATTTACTCAGGCTGAGTTATGTTCCATTCCTAGGTTCTCTCACAGGATTCAATACTTATTCTTGAAAGAGCACCTGAAGGTCTGGTATGGTCATTGTCTCCTTATGTCATTCCTTCACCATCCTATGAGAATGCAGCAGACTGTGCATTAGACCTCTAGACTTGTTTATTCTACAAACATGCTACATTGTATCCTATGAGCTACATTTCCCCATTTTCTTCTGCAATCCTGATAAACACTGATTTGTTTTTTACATGTGTATATTTGAATTTCCACATATAAATGAGATTATGCAGTATTTTCTTTCTGTGTGGCTGGCTCACTTCACTCAGCATGATGTCCTCCAGGCTCATTCGCACTGTGGCAAATGCCAAGATCTTGTTCTTTTCAAGGGCCAAATAATATTTTATTGTATATATCTACCATAATTTCTTTATCCATTCATCTGTTAGTAAACACTTAGGTTGTTTGTTTCCATATCTTGGCTTGTGAGCAAGAGTAAACATCTAATATACAGGCCAGGCACAGTGACTCACGCCTGTAATCCCAGCACTTTGGGAGGCCGAAGCAGTTGGATCATGTGAGGTTGGGAGCTCGAGACCAGCCTGGCCGACTTGGTGAAACCCCCGTCTCTACTAAAAGTACAAAAAATTAGCTGGGTGTGGTGGTGCATGCCTGTAATTCCAGCTACTCGAGAGGCTGAGGCAGGAGAATTTCTTGAACCCAGGAGGTGGAGGTTGCAGTGAGCCGAGACTGGGCCATTGCACTCCAGCCTGGGCAACAGAGTAAGACGC